AGTGGGATGCTACAGGGAAACCTGGGTTGGGAAATGGCCCGGCGAGGTTGGGGCAGGGAAGGGGGCGGCTGGGGCTGAGCCGCTCGTGTTTCACATCACGTCAGGGCTGAGGAATTTCCTCTGCTCTGGGGGTGCCTCGCAGAGAAAAAGGGGGAGGCTTTAAGGTTAGCTGGGGATGAATAATAGCCTAGAGGCGAGGGATTAAAAGTGTTACCCAGGGGCTGCTGTTTACAAGCAAACCCTCTTGCAGAGCAGGAGGGTAAAGAGGGATGCATCGGGGTGACGGTGGGGACCCCGGGCCACACATCGCCCGTTCCCATCCCCGGCAAGTGGAGCGGGGCGATTGCCACCGGCCCCTGCGTGATCCCACCCCTGAGAGCCCCTCCACAGCGATGTCCCAGCAGCTGGTCCCCTGCACGTGTGGTGTGTCCTGGGGTGCCTGGCCTGGCTTCTCTGCCTGACCTGCCACAGCCCCAGGAGCTTTTTCGTCCCTCCAGTTCCCCTGTGTTGCAGACGCCCAGATCATCCCTGTGCACAGGCGGGAAAATCCGCTTCTCCGAGAGGGCTTGTGCCACCCACTGGGAAAGGGGGAGGGAGAGGGGACACGAGCAGCGGGGAGGGGGCAGCCGGGGACACGGGGCTCTGTGCAGGGGCACAGGCTGGGTGCTGTGCCCAGGCACGGGGTTTGTAGCCTGCTGGGTTATGGGGAGCCACCCCCAGACTTGGGCATCACCTGGCATCATCCCACCGCCACCTGAGCCAGGGCCCAGGCTTTGTCCCCAAACACTTCATTTTCTTTTCATTTATCACTATTTTGGGTGATGCAAGGTCAAGGTGGGGAGGAGCGGAGGGAAACGCATTTCTCCTGTGTTATTCCCTCTTATCCTCCATCTCTGATATCACAGCTGGGAAGGGATCGTCGCAGGGTGGAAGTGCAGCCCCCAGGCTGGACCAAGGGAAGCTGCAGGGTCCGACCCGCCCTGGGATGGCAGCGACGCTGGCACACGCTGCGGGAACGGAGCTCCACTTCCAGGGGGTGTGTGCTGGGGACAGGCTGCTCCCTCTTTTAGCCCAGGGAGACTGAGGCACTGGGGACCAGGGAGGCCTTGCAAGGCTGGAGGGGAAAGATGGGCTTATTCCAGCTCAAAAAGGGGATGAAAGGGCAAAAAATTGTTTGCAAGCCAGAGAAGAGGTGGATGGGATCAGCCTGAGTGCTGTTTAGAGGAGGCTGAGCAGGTGCACCTGCACCTTTGGCTCTGCC